CCCATACAAATAGCGTTAAATGATTCCGGTATTAAAAGTTCAAAACCGCAGTGTCGCAACATCCCACTACAAATCTGTTGGCAAGATGGCGTTAAACCGTCCAGCAACATGTATTGTGCAATGGAGTCAAGGCCTCCACGATTAAACGCATCTCGATAAAAATCCAAAGACACACATTTCCACACTGATACACGAGATTGGAGGATATTTTAGGAATAATTTATACGGAATTACAATTCTTTTAAATACTTAAGTAGAGAAGACAGAGTCACTGATATAGACGGATACTAAAAGGATTGACTAATAACTAGCCTAAATCATTTCCATAAGCTATGATTACCATCAATCATAACTTATTCCAAAATTGTATTAAGAGCATTGTCAATTTCTCTTTGGTAGATTCTCAATTTCTTCCAAACCTTGACGAACTTATCTCTTCTCCTCTTCTCTTTGAGTGAAGAATTTTGAGAACAACTCTTGTTATTGAAATTCTAGCCGCTTGCATTGGTGATGGAAAATTTCCCGGCTTTATTAGAGTAGCGTTTCCTGCATATGAGCACAATCGTGCATACAATCAGGTTTGGAGTGCCCAATCGCTGTAAGGTCGGCGGTTTCGCCAGCTGACAATGGCGCCGGCACACGGTTTCGCAATGGTTTGCAACACGAAATTTCGTATGTGGTTACCGCAACGCGCGCTCGATTCACGCGGAGCTTCAGTTGGTCAATGTCTGAGCTATCTGATTGGCATTGTTGGCTCTTTATTCCCGCGACCACTTGGCAAATCTGATGTTTAGGCTGGGCCCCATTGACATGCTGAATAGACTGATACGAATTCCTTATATGCTTTTTGGTCTTTGTTAGTTTGGTCGTTGACTACATGTATCTTGAAAGTTCCCAATAATAGAAACATCTGAAATCCTAATGACAACTGAGATCAGTTGAACTCTTATAACTTTCGTAGACTATAGATCATAGACCAGTTAGATGACATTTTATCAAGTTTAAAGGTGGAATTAATAATGTTTTTTTCTTTGTGGAGTATAGCGAACACTAGCTGTTTCACTGATCGATTTTTATTCAGGGGTTATTAATTATTTATCACATACTCAGGATTCGAATCCAGGGTGTTTTACGATTAAATAAACCCTAAGCACCACGTGGAACGATACTGAGGTTCGAAGGCAGTTTCATTTGGAGGTTTATTTAGTCTTTCCTGTTCACCCAGCGATAAAAATCATTTGGAACCATCTAGGAAGTTCAAAGTGGCGCGAGACCTGTTTATGTAGACATTATAAGTGATTCGGCTCGTCACGTTGGAATAATATTGGAGAATTTATATTGACGATCCGCGTGTCGCGTTTAATGGCAAAATTTTGCGGTCAATGTAACTTTTATAGCTATTTTATTCTAAAACTTCCTTTAACCGATAGCGCTTGACTCAAACTAGTTTTGGGAAATGTACCTACTATGTTGTTTGCTGTCTCAAAATTCAAGCCGAGTTGAAACAAATATATTAAATAAAACACTTCTAACAGTTTGATGGTGTGCATTTTTAACCATATAAATTTTGATATTTTGAACCGTTTAAGTTTTTTAATTATTGTGTGTCATTTGACACTACAGACAATACTTAACTAAAATATACATATTAAATATAAAAAAAATATATGACTTAATTTCGAATCTGATACAAGAATATCTAAGCTTTTCAATTGTTTTGATTCAATAATAGTGACGTGTACCAACACTATATCTATCGATAGTTATATATATCACAATTATTACAATACGTGTATCATCATCATGTGAGGATAATTTTTCGATAAACTTCGCTTCGATGCCTACACAAGTAATATTTTTCGTACCATATTGTTTTCCTATATTAAGCGATAGTGTGATTACTACATATTACGAATGAGGCTCTATACGCGGTCACGAGCAAATACAATTCGTAAATGCAACACAATCGAAAGTGGTCGCTTTTTATGCGCCGTCGACGCTGCGTACGCGATGCGCATACGCTGTAGTTTTTGCATCTTTATATTATTAGGAGCACTGACCTTGTGCAATGTCAAATAGCTGAGGACAGGCGCGCCAAGTCGCGATAAACGACAGTGCAACGTTTTGCCAACTGGTTCCGTTCTAGGGATGTGATTGTTTATCGATGGTTTTAATTAAAACTGTCTTGTTCAATATTTATTATAATTTTACACGAGTGTATATTAAAAAATTTCATGAGATTTGCAGTTACAACATAAATCAGTCCCTGTTTCTGCTAGTGCACATTTTTTCCAGAAATGTGCCTTGAAGTCGAGTCTTTCATAAAAGCAGTGACAGAATAGCGGTAGAGCTAACGAAAATCATGAAAGGAAATTGTATGAATATGAGTGTTCATTAAAACTTTATTTACGAGATTTTTTATTACACCCTATGTATACTGTCTAATTGGGACATCGGTTAACTGAGACTTAAGGAATTACTATAAAAGTAGGTATTTCTTTCTGGAATATAAAAATAAATAACCCTTATTTTTTAAATACGCTGACGGTAGTTCAAAATAGGTGTGCATTCCCCAGTTGTGATCGTTTAAACGAACGTAATTTCTACTATTTACTGATGGAATTGTTTAATTTAAGAAAATAGAATGTTTATTACGCATTACGTAACAAAGTAATTACCGATAGATGCACGAAGTTTTATCGATAGTTTTCACCGATGACGCGTCTTCCCTAAACATCGATGTGTCGTCAAACATCAGGGCAACATTAAAATTCCGAATCGTGTTTTTCTTTTTGTGTCGCGGGAACGTCCGGGCAATTGTGTTTATCAATAAATTTCCTAAATCCAGCTATTTGCTTTCGTTGTTATTACCGGAGTTTGAGACGAAGGATTGTTTAATTGTGATTTCAGCCGGCAGCGACAAACAATCTTATTATTAAAATATATCTTTTTCTGAGAGATATGAAGTATTTTCTTAAATTATCTTATACGTTTAATACCATCATCAACTTTTATGTGCTATGGGAAGTCAAATAAGTGAATGAATAATGTTATTAACATTTAAATAAAACTACTTTAAACGTGATGTAAAAATAAATACTTTTAAATTTATACGAATTCTAATATTATCACTTACAACTTGACATATTAACGTATTTGACAAAAAACGATTTCAAGTAATGAAATATAATTAGCATAACTGTTGTTTTTTTAAATCATCAATACCGCTAAATAAACCATTTTTAACGACGTTTCGGCTTAGCAGCACCTATTGACACAAAGGAACATAAGTTAACTAATATACTTCACGTTTTAAACCGTTAAGAGTGTTTTATTTAGTGTGTACTCCTCATGTAAATAACAGACAATATCTAGTTAATACAGTTTAATTTTCAACAATGTTCCGTTGGCCAACGCATTTCCGTAGGTCAACCATTAATCATATGCGTCAAGCGTGTGCGCTGACCTATAATTGAATTTCATTATGTGTGAGCCATTTTTGAGACGATAAATTTCATTATTTACTTTCCTATAAAATGATAAGCACTAAGGTAAATTCTTAGTAAACCAATACGTTTCTCACAGTAATAATAACAAATTAAATTTTATAGAAAATTTTTGCTCTCGCTTGTCTCCTTGTATACTAATATTTAGTATATAATGGGATTTATTTTGGTATATGCTTTAAAAGGTAATTTGTCAAACGAACAAAATATTTTTTATTTTACGCTTTGCATATAGCATAATAATATAGACAGCATAGTTTTAACTAAGATAACAGATGGCGTTAGCGCAGCAGATTTGACTTTGACATTTGACACCCACCCATGATAACGGCTGCACCCGAAAAATATTGTAATAAGAGATAAATAAACTAATTTGTATATTACGCCTTGTGAACCGTTAATTTTATTTACAGCATATACAGACCTAATTAAACGTTTAACAGCTTTAGTGTAAAATACGATCAAGCGGTATCGTAATCTGCGTGTTTTACAAACAGCGCCACGCCAACTGGATTGTCGCCAGGACGTCTCCGGAAGGATGTCCCGGTTCCCGAAACTCGTTATCTGACACTTCATAGAATGTCCAATTAAACATAAGTCGATAAGGATATAAAATCGCTTGACTTTGTCAACTAGATTATCAACGAATTTTCGGAAATCGTTTGGTTATACATGATTTTTTTTTATCTCCACGAGGCATTTAATTTCGTTTTTGTTTATAAGAATTAACACAAACACGCATTTTGGAAAGGGATTATTATTTCAACATTAGTACAAGCACCGTTTCGTATTTTTTTTGCTTTGCTATGTTTAATATTAATTAAATTATCATTTAATTTTCCTGTCCATATCAATATGGTGACAAAAGACACCAAAAGACTAGTGGCCTTTTCTTACAAATAAATGATATTTAAAGGAAAGTTAAATCGATACGTTGGTGGTAAGACGCAAACAAATAGCGATGCGAAACATTTTGGGTAACCCAATGTCCTAAACTCCGTAAGAGCGGGATCTGCGCGGGCGCATTCGCTAAGGTGACCTTCCGGGACCGGGCGTTCACCGTCTTCAGTCGCCGGCGCCGGTCACCTTATGAACAATCGCTTTGTTGCGCACCACACTTTTTAATGTCAATGTCGGAATAATTAAGACGATTATTACAATAATATTTAATTACGCAAATTTTTCGTGTAAACATTGTGTTACTCGTGTTATTCACTATTGTTTGTCATTGTGTTACACTATGCAGAGTACACGAACATTAAGAGATATAGTATAAAAATGGAAGCCACTCGTTCGTGACTCATTAATGCTAAACGAGCCAGAATTAGAATAAATTTAGACGCGATTTTCTTAGATCTTATAAATTACTGACACTTATAAACATTGTGTGGATCACAATATTTATAATTGTCAAGTTTTAAATATATATTGTATGACATTGTACACTATATCTTTTCTAATGTTGATTTAATAATATTTTTAAATAGTACTCACCACTGGGGGGTCTTGGGTGTGCGACGTGGTGTTGCAGCGAGCTGGTTATCTGGTGCTGCTGGTAGAAGGGAAGGAAGGGCGTGTGGAAGGGCGCCGGGGGCGGAGGCTGGAGTCGCGCCTTCAGCTCTTCTGCGCCGGCGCCTGATGACGAAGATTCTACGTCTGATACCCCACTATCCGCTGGCGATGGAGGGAGGGACCCTGGTGGACAAGACAAAAAAAAATTGGTCTGTATTTAGATATTCCTACCACGTATCAATATCTTGATTATTAGCTCCAATCCCCTCTATTACCAACAAGCCCCTCAAAACAATACCACAGACATATATATAAAAGCCATGTAAATGCAACAGATTCTATTTGACAATTAGCATATAAATAAAAACCGTTGAGCAAATAAATCTTAAACTGCATCTCTAACACAAAGAGATCTAACGGTCACTTTTGCATATTAATTCGCGTAACCCCTTGAATGCGTCGCGCGGTCAATTCGACCATTAGATGCAGATGCACTTGCCACGACCTGTTTGTGTGGGAAATCGCTGGTCAGACGGCTTTGTTATGCAAAAACAGTGTACCTTTAATTTAGCATTATGCAGATGTCGTAAGGCCAGGGGGCATATTGGGGTTGCACTTTTTTGCATCTCAATGCGTGTTAGTGTTTTTTGAACGGAATTAGAATATCATAAATATGCAGTTTTAGAGAGATGCTTACATCTTAGACGAGAAATGTGTTCGAGCTGAGAGGCTTTGTGTACACAACTAGTGAGGTGGTCAAGTTTTTGGTAATTTACGTTTCGGATTTAAATGTAGAGTTATGCAAATTTAACGGTTGCAATTTATTAACGTCTGTTCACTTTGATGAACGATTGCGTGATTATTCTAGTTTTAGCTGTTTACAATTTACGTTTGATAGGATTTCGTAGCTGGTCACCCCAATAAAAAACAAGCTTATTTTCTCAGGGTCGTAAAATTTTTGACGAGTAACCGTCGTATTTAAATAATATAATCATCGGCTAGGAGGTCAAAGAAAGCGTATTCATACATTTCCTTGAGCATTGAGTCTATGACTGGTATTGACCATTTGACCGGAGCCGCTGTCCACACCCTTTTCATCCATTGTTAACCGTTCAATGCTCGCTGGGAACCGGGAAGCGCCGTGGGTCAGTTTTGACCAATTCAATGGAATAGTGTTACACTATAATCAAGTAAATACAAGTTTAAACATTGTATAGTGTTTAAATCCTTGTGTTTGGCGCTGCTGGCGACTTATTATGTGACTTCGGATGAACGAGGTGTGTTTATTTTTAATTGTGTTATAGCTATATGAAATATATTGCCTTTATGCATAGCGTAAGAAGAATTACAATCGCGTTTTCACTATTCAATTTCGCATAAGTGAAAACGCACGCCGTATGGATACAATAGCTGATTCGAGTGTAGTCGTCCAGAACCGTAGCAGTTTTGCTTTAAAACTTTAATGAAATTATAATATGTTTTAAATATTTTCCCATATATTCATCACATTGTTACATTGATTTGAATCATATTAAGCTCTATATACAAAAACGAACGTTTAATTTTCTAACTTATGATTCAAGTTTGCGCGTTCCTAGAAAATACTTGATCGATAAAAATCCTTGAATCAACCCTCGCGGCAGAAGTGTCCACTGTCCAGTCCGGCTAACGGAACACGGAACCGGCCCTTTGTGTCGACCCTTTCATCTCTCGTATCAAAATAATAATAAATTAACTATAAATAATCGCTTCGACCCCTTCACCGGTCGCAGAGGAATGCGGTCCTATTAGGATAATATTACAATACGAGACAAAACAACCCTTCCTTAATCGTCCCATCTTTATTGAGTGACCGCTGTCCATCGGTATTGTGCGCATACAGCGTTAGACCATAATCTGTGCGAATGGAGACTTAGAATATTTTTTGCATATGAATTATCACGCGGTGTATATAAGCCGTTACATAATCCCTTTGTGTCGGAACTGTGGGATGAAAGCGAATATAGAATTTGTGCACGTTCGATATTTGAAAAGTCAAATTTTAACTGACTATACGGTAGAGGACAGATAAACGCTGTCGACCTATTTTGGCTTTGGATATTCGGATATCATAGACGGAAACCGAAACGTGAATAAACTTGACAGCTTTTTCATCTGTGGACGGTTCATGATCCGGACGTCATTTAGATATTTTCACCACATGCAAGAAAATTATAAATTCAGTAGCATTATGGTGGACCCGGTAGGCATCGAAACCACGGACCGTTGCTTGCTACCATTACAAAGAGCTCGTCACCTAGCAACCGAGGTCGATAATAAAAATGGTCGGATCGTAGTAAAAAGTATTTTATTCGAGGGACATCCTGACAGACGTTTGCATTTTATTTGCAGGAAAACGAGTGCTCATATTATCTTAGCATTATTTCTCATAAGGTAAATGTCAAATATACGTCAAAATATTTAATTAACTTGTTACACGCTATATAAGTTATAGCTTATTTAGAAGTGATTAATTATCACGAGTGATCGTAACAAGTAATAAAAGCGTGCTTATAATAACTAATTAACGTTAATAGTTGTACGTTACAGTTAAGAGATAATAAATCTGCAGATGGCATTTAGTGTGACGGTATTATATATCTATTATGTATTTTATATATATCTTTTGCTAAACGACAAGAAATTTGTTAGTGCCGTTTTGATGTGTGATGTTGTCGCACAGTTAGTGGTTTCAAGTACATATAAACTAATGAAGTGAGGAAGAACTTTGAGTGTAGTATCGCATTTGTTAGTGTTTTCTTATACTTGTATTTCTAGTTTATAAGAGTGGTAAATTTTAAACAAATTTGACAGTTGAAAATACGAACTATATTCATTAATTTATTTTTAACTACAACCTGGCGCTTCGGTTGGTCGTAGTTGCTAAATGATGTGTTTATTCACTTCTTAAACCGTTAAAAAATGTATTAATAATTTATTTCTTTAATACAATACCAAATATTGCACAAATTAATATGCAATAACTAAATAAGGTATAACCAAACTATTGTCTCTAAAAACACGAAACTGAAAAGAAATGCCTCAACAAGGCTTCGCATTGATCGTAAAATATAAACTAAGGTCTGAAGAGGTCGTAAATTGAATAATTAATCATTGCGAAATGTATACAAAAGCCGACAATGGTTGCGTTTGCTCACCCACGCGTGACATTCTAATTTCCAAGTCAGCCGCTCCGGAAACCCGTTGAGGCTGATTCAAAAGACGAGATCATTATATCAGCAGTGCGGTAGACAGAAAGGATTATCTATCGCCGTGACAATCGGCAGCAAGGTGCGTAGATTTCAAAAAAAGTGCATATTTTGGAAATGTGCGCGCGCAATATGCGCAAGCTGTTCCAATTGTTTGGTTAGGACGAGGGTGTGCTTTGTAGTGCCGACGTTTTAGGGTTAAATGTGTTATTTTGCACAATATACGCGCTGGGCAAATAGCGATTATGTGGAATTACCGCGTAACCCAGATTTGTACAACTTTTAACTCGATGGAGCCGCCGTACGAGATCTGGCGATAACCGCGTGTAACATACGACTCGTTTTAATATGGCAAAGTTTAACGTTTAGTTCATTTACGCGAATAGTTGGGCTTACGAATAACTAATTTGTATTTCGAATCTAGGGCAACCGGCGAAGTAATCCATTGTCATTAATATTGCCTATTGCTTAGCCTAATACATTTTGCCTTTGAAACCGTTAAATGTAGTTGTAATATGTTATTTGTTTGAATCAAAACACCTTTAGTCATGTATGACTGAAGGTGGATGTAGGACTAAAACATGTACCTATGTTTTAATCTTCTTCTGTTCTGTATTCAATATTTTAAACTAAACCGAAATATATGTCTGTGGCCACCATCTTGACTGTTTGTTTATCTGTTTAATAATAATATCGGATTATTGATCCCAATTTACAAATTATTAATTCATAAAGCTTAATTAATAATATTACATTACTATAATCCAATTACTTAAAATATGTTGTTCATAATAAAACTAATAGATAGAACTGTTTAGTAAAACTTTTTTATATACACTCACAATGTCGATCAACTATTGAGATGGAATATATTTTAATAAAATATGTCTCGCCATGTTGCATTATGCAATAAATCAACTTGTCATATTCGCACAATGTCAATAATTAACCCTTCTGATACCAATAACAAAGACCCACCCGCACACTAAAAGTGATTATCGTATGAAATTGCACATTTTCGGTCAAATGGGATATTGTCTGGACATCTGCGACCGACAGCCGTCGAAGGGTTAGAAGTGTCAAATAATATTTGCTAACCCTTGAATATGGGGCTTATGTAAACATAGTATTATGTAACACGTTAAATATGAAGCTGGCTTTATATATGTAACTAGCTGGGACTCGATTTCGTTCGCGTGGAACAGTGACTTGGGGTAGAATTTTTAATTATTTAGGCTGTTTATTAATTTATCTAATCTCGCATTTTAAGCAGCCAATCTATGTTGTAAGTGCTACTTTGTCGCAACACTCTCACCTCACATCACTCCTACTCTAATTCTCACCCCCACGCCCACTCCCACGCCCAAAAAGCCAAAGAAGAAAGTTTTATTGTTCTAGCTTCAAAAACCACCAATTTCCATACAAACATTCACCCCCCCTTTTAACCACTTTCGCAATAGCCTATGTTCTTTCTCAGGGTCTAGACCACCTGTATAACAAATTTCATTCAAATCCGTTTAGTAGTTTTGGCGTGAAAGAGTAACAGACAGACAGACAGACAGAGTTACTTTCGCATTTATAATATTAGTAAGGGTTGTGGGCATTGCGTGGGAGTTGCTTACACGTTTTCGTCAATATTGTTGCTTAATCTTCATAAGCCAGATTACATATGAAGTGGGCTTTTACATATTAATAATACATACAATTAGAAAATTTATCGATAATATAATCGCTAATCCTTATACAAAACATAACAAGACAAAGATATCATTGTTTGAAAATAGCGTATCTGAAAACGAGATTGTCATTTGTTTTTAATTACGCTTTACTAAATTTCTCACAACAAAAATCATCAAAATATTAAACGGTATTAAGAAATACTTATATAATAATTAGTTATAAGTATTTTCCGTCAGTCTAATAAAGTAAAATGTAAATAAAGATCACTTCTTTAACAGTAAAAATCACAAACTTCTTAACATTACGTTAACTAACAAAGTTGAAGTCTGAAAAGAGTATTTCTATCATATAATAAACTTTGAAACAATTAACGGTATGCCCTTGATCTGAGCAACTTTAACTTGAGGCTTTTAAGAAAAGAGCCCTCAACGACAGCAGTGCGTATAGACGCAAGGTAGACGGCGCACACAGGCACACAGATACGCAACACTGCGTTATGTGTGCGTAGGGGAGACGGGGGCGAAGAGGCGCACGGGATGGTCGTGACATTGGGAGATCAGCTGAGAGTATCGATTCACCACTTCCTCGTCCTTCTTTATGAATTTTTCATGCCCCGCCAGCTTGTTGTGACGCGAGTTAATGTTCATGGATTTAGGGGTCACGAAGCTTTTCGATTAGGTTTTAAGTAATAAAAAGTTAACGTACACGCGCTAATGAAAATAAAGCTTCTTTTTACGAACAATAGTTTAAGAGCTATCCAAATTCAAGGATATCCTTTAAAAGACATGACAGACGTTTGGATAAAAAATTTAGAGAAAGATAATTTTTATTTGATGTAATACTAAACAAAACTTCTACAAAGTCTCCAAGCGAAGACATTGTGGTTTTAATAATCCAATATTTATCAAAATATGAACAGCACACGCAAAGTAGGAAACACAATGAAGGATCAGAAAATCGACGAGAGGAAATTGTCTGGTTTATGGAGAAACGAAAATAACATTAGCTATATGATATTGTGCTTCGTCTGTCGGGGGTTATGTTAGGCAATTTCCTCCACAACCGGAGATATCTCGACGCAAATTGATTTTAATAAAAGGTAATAGGTATTTCCAGACAGAAAATGTTGAATAATATCGCTGAACTGAACGGTCAATTCACCGTTATTACTGATATATACTGTATTTATCTGAAAATATTTTAAAAGTTCTTGAATAAAGGACTCAAATTTTGCAACCTTTTATTCTATAACGGTGAAAAGTGCAAGTAGATAAGTATTTATAGTATTTCTTACCTGTATTGGGCGCGGTATATAAATGGTGTCTCGGCGTCGACGCAGGCGCAAGCAGGCCGTGTAATAACGCTCTACCCAGAGAGCCCCTTGCACCTAGCGGTAGCCCAGCGGGCTCGCCGTCCACTGTAACAAAGAAATAATACGTTAATTGAATAAAATCAATTATATATAAAATAAGTTCAGCGATGGCTTAACGTCTTCTTGTTATTTAATACGTTGACTATTTTTAATAACAATAATCTGTAATTGCAGATTTTTTGCGTTTCACGTAAATTGTATGGTATTGCATCTCATAAATACATAAATACCTTATGAGTAATGTGGACCTAATAGATTAGCCATTTTGCACAATGTCCGCATAGGAACACAGATAAAGCTCGCCACAGATAATATTGAGACATTTCACCGATAAGTGTTACGTTGACTGTGGCGTAACAGAATATATTCTGCAATGCGTTCGCAATTATTTTAAACATATTACTGATAAGATATATATTGTAGGCTTAGTTGTGTAATCTTTGTAGGAAATGTATTGCAAAAATCGTATTAACAATTTTTTTTTAATGTTACCGTAAACTTTTCATATTTACAAATATTTGCATGTCAATTGTCAAAAAGCTAAATATTTAGAATACATATAAAATGCGCGATTCTACACATTTGAATAAAATATACTCTGTATATTTTGCGGTAGCTCAGTTATTGAAGTTGTAATGACGTTGAAAGTTGAAGCATAGTTTAAGATGTAAGCAGACAGACTAGACATCGCTGGGAGCAGCGAAAAGGAAAGTTAAGTAAAATTATTTCAGGTACAATGTCTCCCTGGAGCGTTGTGAGATAAGGTTGTTAGGGCTTCTTCTCGACGCTCACTGGAGAAGCTAATATTAACCCTAAGTAGCTTTGGAAAATAAGCGTTTCATAATATAATATTCCCGTAACTCTGCAGAGAAATATAATGTTACAAATATCTTATTGGATAAGTAATTTTTATCCTGCTGTTTTCAAAAAGGAATTAGTTATTCTGCTATGTCAAATGTTGTTAATGCATAAGTTTGATATAGAATGTATTTATGAAAGATGAGAATAAATAAACATTGGTTTTATTTAATGGAAGGTGAAATATTCCAGCTATATAAGAACAAGATGAGCTGTCGGCCTATTTCGGTTCGAACATTCGGAAATCAATATATATTATAAAAATAAGCTTGGGGTTATCTACCCTAAAAAAACCCTACTTAAATACTGTCTATAGTTTACGCGAGTAGTACACATTTAAATAAACCCTACTTGCATAATTTTTTTTACTACTCATAATAGTTAAAGAGTAGGTTAGTGTAGAGTAGTAGTAAGTTATTGTTGATTAAATCCCACGTACCCAACCAATCCCACTAGTGGAACCGTCGTGGTAGGATAACGCGCCTATGACCTTAAGAAAAAGAACCTTGAAAGCCTTATACATTTTGAGATCTCAGATCGATACAATAATGTATCATCTCGGCCAGACGCGACGTTTCCGTGCGGCGACCTTGGTTCCACCCGGGGGTGACCCCCTAACGCCCCCTAAGCCCCTACTAAGGAGTTAAACCCTCCGCCCACCTGTAGAACTGCGCATGGTTGCGGGAGAGAGGGACAAACTATCGCTTTCGTCTTGGTCGAAACGTCTAGACATAGCGCACGAAAGGGAAGGTAAAGTTCATGCATTTCTGCATGCAGGGCTTAATTAAAACCCAGGACTCTATGGATGTCCTAAATATTATTGGGATTTTCCTATACTGTTCAACAAGGTTTAAATAAGTACAATACATGTTTAGTTCTTTTCGATAGTTAGTATTCAGTTATTATCTTCATATTTACGAGTGCATTATTTAGTAAAAAAAAAGGAGAATTTTTCTTTAACATAAATTGATGTAACAATTGACTGATTAAGTTACTGAAATATTGATAAAATGCATTATTATTGCGCATTTTAACCTGCGATACAAAATATATGCCTTTGCATACACTTACCTCGTTTCCAAAATTAAATTTTTTATAACTAAATTTAGATATAAATTCTATAACTTCTCAGAGGGACCGAAAATTTCCCCCGGGTTCCCTGGATTTTTTTTTCTTTTTTCTTTTTTTTTAGGGGGGGGGGGGGAAAGCTGTAATTTTCCAAAATTCAAAGACTGATAATCATTACAATGGAAAGTTTGGTCGTACAGACCAATTTAATATAATAAATTCTATATCATTTGATTAAATATATACACTTACAAATATACTTAGAACTTTGAACATACAAACGTAAGTTACAAAATTGTCTAAAACATTTTAAGTTTACCCAGGACGTCATATACAATTTCTCACTTCTGTCTTGAAATAAAAGTAACACTTTAAATTGTTTATGAAAATACCTAAGTGCATCGACCTAGCATCGAACCCAGTCTGAATTATTCAGTATCCGGAGTCCCCCCCCCACAAATGGAGTTACCACCCCATTCTGCGCTCTACCTTCCGGTTGAGAATGAAAAGTCTTCAGTGAAATTTATATGGTTGGGGTACAGTGTTGCCAACGATTTATTAATACGACTAGCTCTTAGCCGTTGCATTGTCTGCTTTTGTATATGGCAATTTGACGCTGTGAGTTGGAAGGTCTAATTAAGTACCTTTTAGTAAACCATAGTGAATTAGAAGATAAATAGTTTTTAATTTGATATTTTACCTAGAATATTTAAATAAAGCTTTAGTTAAATGGATTATGTTCAACAATGTTAACGAAGTAAGAAGAAAGAATGTACAATAAAACAAAGCGTTTAATTAATTCATCAAATAATTTAGTTAAATGAAATAAAACAAAGACATGTGTGCTTATCCATTACAAAACATATTAATATATCCCACGAAATTTAAGATATGCATACGGTATTATTCTGGACCCGCCCAAGCTGCCCGCCCAAAATCGCTTTTACTTTTACAGTTGCATACACCCCCGGGGTTAACGTTCGGGGGGTGGAATCTATTATATTAGTATTGTTGCTTCAAAAGTGCAATGGTCTCGTTACTGAAACTGTATGTTAGCAAAACTGTTTATACGTCTGGGGTGTGCTATTATTTTTTCTTTTTATATACATTCTGTGTATGTACTCATTGTGTACATGTTATTTAATATAAGTGTTTTTTACCGTTATTAAATACACATAAACACTTTAACTTAAAACAATTTTAAGATGCTATTTGCTGACACAAGCGGCATTCAAAGCCATGACCAACGATGTGATTATGTTATTCGTATAGTAATTGTTTTATATTACATAGTTAAATAAGCTTTCCGAGTTAAGAACCCAAGAGTCAAGAATTACCCATTGCAAGAAAGAATAAGCAAAATCCAATTTTATCTTGCGTAAATAAGGATTAATGAGCCAGTTTTGGCACGAAACACGACTGTTTTTAGGAGAAATATTAAAAAAACTGCCGCCTTTAAGATTACTAACCATTGAGTATGTGATATGTAAATAATATATTAGTTGTAAATTTTTCCTCTTAACTGTACAAATATACGATCGTTAAATAAAATAGTGTACAACACCAGTAGGTTGTAATGTCGAATTTTTCCCTCATATTTATAAATATGTATAAATCTAATTTTCTACTATAGTAGTAGGATGTATATAAACTTTATGATATGTATAGCCATAAGCCAATTTTAAAGATTTATAAATTCGGGCTTTAAGACTTCACTCACTACTCGCTTAAACTACAGACAGTATTTCAGCCTTTGCATTATCGCGGTTTATAAAGAAATATAGCCTTAAAAACGTGTATTCTTTCTAACGTCCGTCAGAATTCAGAATCATTAAAGGAGCTAGCGTGCAAAGGAAATCATCGTCGGCGTAATGGGTACACGCGATTCTGTACTTTATTAATATTTTGTTAAGTTCAATTTGCAATAATCCGTTTCGGGAAATCTTGCGAGATGCTTGACGTCAGCCGTACATCCGGGAAGTCTTTAGCTATTGCGAACATCGTCCAACATGGAAGGTACCTTGCGGCCTGTATTTGGTTTTGATAGACAGGTCAACATATGTTGGTTACTTGGGTAATAATAATTCAATATCCAGTCCACGAAACTCTGATTTCTAAGATACAATACGAATATAGAGCTCTTAATAGAATGGTAGGGGGGACAATTATATCGGTATTGGTTGCGTATGCGTTCACGAGCAAAGTTACTAATACATATACATATCTAATTCGATTTTGTGGAATTAATACTTTCGAGAACCATTTCGAATAATACCTGTCCATCTTTAGAGATAGTTAAACAAACGCATTTATATGTGAAAAGTTAACGCACAAAGTAATCTTCGAAAATACGTAAACTTTTTGAAAAATAATATTATCTACTATCGTATCATCACGCTTTGATATAGACCTTACATCAAATAACACCTACTTTGCACGTTACGACAGAAATTAATTCCGCCATAACATGTGTGACAATTATTGTCAATTGTTTACATAGCCGCCTACGCGCAGGGCATATTAAAAAAGTTAATTTGTGGAAATGTTTCCGCTCAAAATAATCGCAGTGACACGAATAACCTCCAGAAGTATTAATAAAGAGGAAAGCGCTAAATGGCAACATTAAAAGGAACGAAAATAAATTAATAATAATTGATGATAAGAGAATTTGAGTGTATTGCATTTTCCTGTTTTTTTCTTTTTGATCTATCTTGGATTATCCATTATTTATCTTTCAACGCTCTACAAAATACTTTAAATGAAAACGACATAAACGTATACTTAATAACTTTTTCAATAATATTTTATAGCCTGGTCACGGGGCTTTTTAGCCAACAAAAACTTATAGAAGTAAATACCAACGACAATAGAGGCCGGAATGTATGCAGATAATATGTTGTAAATATGATCTGTGCGCGTGCATCAAAGATGGCGTCGGAAAAGCGCGGACACTTTCCCCCGCGCGGGAAACGAAAGAAAGTGGCGTCGCCGGCGAGAAATGGAAACCGACGCTATTACGTTGATAACACGTTTATCTTGCATTTAATGACTAACTGCACGCTGCACGTTACACATTAGCCATTTTATTATTGATTCCAGCGCAAGCTGTCGTTTGGCCA